ACCTCATATCTAGTGCATACTTGCCTCTGTAAATTAGATCAGCCAAGACTTTTTTTTTTCCAGAGATACAAGGGTAGATTATGATTTTATCAAATAGTTCAGAACATTCTTTATTGATCCTTTTGGTTAGTTTTGTGGCCTTTTAAGTTAAGAAATATAGTAGTAGTAGTTATTTTTCCATGAACTTCATACTCCTATTTTTCTCAGTTCAAAATAGAACTTGAATTTGTACACCCTTGGTGGGAACATCCCAGGTAACATGGGATATTAGTTTTGCATTTAATGACTGCATGAGTTAACTTAGGGAACAGTTACTGTTGTATAGACAAACGCACACCACACCATACACCACCTCTCTCTCTTTCTCCTTCTCCAACCCTCCAATTCAGCAGAAAAAAAAATCACCAAAAACCAGAGGAGAGTTAATCATAAAGGGTTCATTGTTTTGGCTTTGGGGCACAAGCTGATGGAAAAGAAACTGAATTTAGTAAATTATGCTATGAATCACTTCTTTGTAAATTCACTTATGGATTCCTGTTCTCAGAATTTATCTCTCCTTTTGGCAAGGTTTTCATTGCCTCTCAGGATCTCCATTACCAAGACCCAGAGGGTGACTTAGTAATTAAGGATGAGGAGTCTAAAACAAATTTTATTTTCCTTCAGCTTATAAAGATTTTTCTCAGAGATCCAACTCAACACAAGTCCTGGGAGAGGGATTTTTTTTGAAGAACCCACATCTTTCCAAATGACATGACACTTTTGAGCTGATCAGAAGAGGTGTCCGTAGTTAACTTGATGCTCAGAAAACTTGATAACTTGTTCTCTTGACTGTTTGGCAACCATTTTCTTGAAATATAATTCACATACCATATAGTTCCCCCTTTTCAAAGGTACAATTCAATGGTTTTTACAATATTCATGGAGTTGAACCACCACCACCACCACAATCACTTTTAAAACGTTTTCAGTTCACCAAAAATAGACCCCGTGCTCTTTGGCCATGACACCTCATTCTTCCTAATATCCTCAGCTCTAGGCAATCAGTAATCTACTTTCTGTCTCTTATAGAGTTGCCTATTTTGGACATTTCTTATTAAAGAAATCTTACCACATATGATCTTTTGTGACTAGTTTCCTTAGGTGTTTTAGTTTTTTAAAGATTGTATTTATTTATTTTTAGAGAGAGGGGAAGGGAGGGAGAAAGAGAGGGAGAGAAACATCAACATGTGGTTGCCTCTCCCACACCCTGTACTGGGGACCTGGCCTGCAACCCAGGCATGTGCCCTGACTGCAAATCAAACTGGCGACCCTTTGGTTCACAAGCTGGCACTCAGTTCACTGAGCCACATCAGCCAGGGCTAGCTTGGTGTTTTTGAGGTTCATATCATATTGTAGCATGATTCAGCACTTCATTTCTCGTGATTACTGAGTAATGGGTTTACTTACTCATCATTTGATGCACATTTTTGTTGTTTACACTTTTTGGCTGTTATGACTAATGGTGCTGTGAATATTTGTGTGTTAAGTATTTTTGTGGATGTGTTTTCATTTTTCTTAGATGTATACCCAGGAGTGGAATTGCTGGGTTTTATAGTACTCTGTGTTTAATCTTTTGAGGAACTGCCAAACTGTTTCCAATGTGCCTACATCATTTTATATTCCTACCACCATGTGTGAGGGTTCCTTTCTAATACTTGTTATTATCTGTATTTTTTGTTATAGCCATCTTAGTACGCCTCCTTGAATTAAAAAAAATTTTTTTAAATTTATTTATTGATTTTAGAGAGTGGGAAGGAGTGGGGGAGAGAAAGAACCATCGACTTTGTTGTTCCACTTATTTATGCATTCATTGGTTGATTCTTGACTGGGGATCAGACCCTCAACCTTGGCATATCAGGAGACACTAGCCATACCCTGCCAGGCCCTGCCCTCCCTTTGAATCTTTTCTTTAATATATGTTACTGATTATACTCTTACCGTTGTCCCAGTTTTTCCCTCTTTGCCCCCTTCCGCCTGGTACCCACATTTCCTCCAGCAATCCTTGCCCTTCCTTAGTTCATGTCCCTGGGGATCGTTCATATAAGTTCTTTGGCTTCTCCATTTCCTATACCATTCCTAAGCATCCCCCTGTCTATTTTGTACCTACCAATTATGCTTTTTAACCCCTGCATCTTTTCCCCCATTGGCTCCCTGCCCCTTCCCAGCTGATAAACCTCTAAATGACCTCTATATCTATGATTCTGTTCTTGTTCTGGTGGTTTGATGATGATGATGATGATGATGATGATGATGATTATCATTTTAGATTCAGTTGCTGGTAGTTGTGAATTTGTTGCCATTTTAATGTTCATAGTTGTGATCTTCTTTTTCTTAAGTGAGCCCCTTTAACAATTCATGTAATAATGGCTTGGTGATGATGAACTCCTTTAGCTTTACCTTGTCTGGGAAGCACTTTTACCTGCCCTTCCATTCTAAGTGATAGCTTTTCTGGATAGAGTAATCCAGGTTGTAGGTCCTTGCTTTTTATAACTTTGAATACTTCTTGCCAGTCTCCTTTAGCCTGCAAAGTTCCTTTTGAGAAGTCAGCTGACAGTCTTACGGAAACTCCTTTGTAGGTAACTCTGCTTTTCTCTTGCTGCTTTTAAGACTCTCTCATTATCTTTAATCTTTAGTATTTTAATTATGATATGTCTTGATTGTGGTCCTCTTTGGGTCCAACTTGTTTGGGACTCTATGTTCTTCCTGACCATACAAGGGAAGTTTTCTTTCATTAATTTTTCAAACTTATTTTTCAAATAAGTTTTCAATTTCTTACTCTTCCTCTTCTTCTGGCATCCCTATGATTCAGATGTTGGTATGTTTGGAGATATCCCAGAGGGTCCTTATACTAGCCTTGTTTTTTAAAATTCTTTTTTCTTCTTGCTGTTCTAATTAAATGCTTATTTATTCCTTATGTTCAAAATTGTTGATTTGAATTTCAGCTTCATCCCCTCCACTGTTGGCACTGTTGATTCCCTGTAGATTTTTCTTTATTTCACTTCGTGTAACCTTCATTTCCTCCTGGGTGTTTTATTTTGTTGCTGTACTCAGTGAGTTCTTTGAGTATCCTGATCACCGGTATTTTGAAATCTGCATCTGATAAGTTGGTTATCTCCATTTCATTTAGTTCTTTCTCTGGAGTTTTGTTGCTTTCTCTCAGTTGGGCCATATTTCTTTGTCTCCTCAATTTGGCAGCTTCCCTGTGTGTGTTTTTGTGTATTAGGTAGAGCTGCTTTGATTCCCTGTCTTAGTAGCATGGCCCATCTGGATGAATTTGGCTTCTATTAAATCCTTGGTTGTCGGGCTTCCATGAGCTCAATTTTCTGATGGTTCTGGGTGTTATTTGTTTTGAGGTCTAGTTGTAATTCTTTCTTCGGTGGCGTGAGGAGGTGAAGCGTGTTTACCTGTGCCTCTATCTTGACTGGTAGTCCTCACCACCTTAATTCTGAAATCACATGTACTTGTGCCTTATCATTGTGACTTGTGTTTTCTTGCATTTAATTATGGTGATTCCTTTCTGACAGGCTGCCCTTTGTAAGCTGTACATTGCTGTGCCCATATGTTACTCATTTTTGTGTTCCTTCTTTACTAGTTATCCTCCTGAACTCCAGACAGTGCTTGGTGGCTGATCTTTGATACAGCAGCTTTTGCCCTTGTTAATAATAATAATAATAGAAGATTGAGCGTTTTTTCCTAGAAATAAGCTGTTTCTTTTTTAAAATTATTGTCATCTGCTCTGATAATAGTTATATACTAAAAGTGAGAGACCTCTGAGGCTGTATATTCCTGTAACTGCCATTTGTGGAGAAGGAAAAAACTGCCTGCTAAATATCCCCCGCCCCCTCTTTAGAGAGTCGTTAAAAAGTGCATGTTAAGTACAAAATTAATCTGTGGTGTTAAAGTTAGGAAAATGGTTAGAATTCCTGGTGGGTGAAGTGACCAGAGGAGATTTCTGTGGTGCTGGTTGTCTTAATGTTCTTGATCTTGAAGCTTGGAGTTAGTTATATAGATGCATTCCCTTTGTAAAATTCATTGAGCTATAAACTTAGAATATGTCTGTAATATACTAAAATAAAAACTTAAGTTAAAAATATTAATATTGTTTAATGATATTTTGCACTAGTAAAGCTCTTTTTTTTTCACATTAACTACCTTTCTAAAGAATATGTTCCATTTTGAGTCAGGGTATTTATAACTTTTACATTATCACCATTCGTGTATATACTTTGTATTGACGTAGATGTTTTAATTTCAAGTCCCCTTGTTCAGGAGCTCATAATTTCAGAGATTGAGTAATTTAGATACACTTGGATTAGCTATAGGAAGTTTGATTTTATGTTCTGCTCTGACGCTTCAGCACCTCACACAGTCTTGGCTTGAGTCTTATTGTATGTATCTAAAACTTCCTCAAATGCGCTTGTGCCTGTGGTCTGTTGGTAAGTTCTCATTCTCATTAGAGAAAAGAATAATATGAAGGGAGAAAGAACCATAGGAAAGAGAAGTTATATTCATACGGGTTCGTTATTTATAGTAAGAGACCTAGATGTTCAGAAATATTTAATATAATTAGCACTTTAAAATGTGATACCAAGATAGTCAAAGTCTTTTGGCTTCTAATCCTTTTATCCATTTCTACTGTAATGGATTTTGAAAAAAATGTTTTATTTTAACCAAATATGTTATGTTGCTAAAGGTAGGAAGATATGTAGTAATATCAGTGCTTGGTTAACAAAAAAAGTTTTCAAATAGGCCTATATTCTCTGATCTTTATTTCTAAAAATTGGGTATACAGGTAGAGGTAACAGAGAAAAAAATGTTTTGTAAGAATAGTAATAGCTGTTTTATATCCTGACGAGGAAAAAGCAATCCTTCCTCGTTTTGGTGGAATCTGAGTACTCTGTATTTAAATAGTGTAATAAAACACATTAACAATCATTTTAATACCTAATTGTGTCTTCTAGGCCGTCCTTAAAGTTTCCCATGTCTCAATGGACTCCTGAGTATAGCAAGCTCTATACCTTAAAAGTGGATATGAAGAGTGAGATTCCTTCTGATGCACCAAAGACACAGGAGAGTCTGAAAGGGATCCTCTTGCATCCAGAGCCCATTGGGGCAGCCAAAAGTTTTCCTGCAGGAGTTGAGATGATTAACAGTAAAGTGGGGAATGAATTCTCTCATTTGTGTGATGATTCTCAAAAACAAGAGAAGGACATGAATGGTAACCAACAAGAGCAAGAAAAAAGTGTTGTTGTGAGGAAAAAACGCAAAAGCCAGCAGGCTGGCCCTTCATACATGCAAAATTGTGTTAAAGAGAACCAGGGAATATTAGGATTGAGGCAACACCTAGAAGCACCAAGTGATGAAGACAATGACTCCTCTTTTAGTGATTGTCTTTCTTCTCCTTCATCTAGTTTGCATTTTGGAGATTCTGATACTGTGACTTCAGATGAGGATAAAGGAGTCTCTGTAAGACATTCCCAGGCAATTTTGAGTGCTAAAAGTAGAACTCAGAGTGCACGGTCCCAAAAGTGGCCTCCGACTGAGACAGAATCCGTTTCTGGATTGTTAATGAAAAGACCCTGTTTTCATAGCAGTTCGCTAAGGAGACTTCCATGCAGAAAGAGATTTGTAAAAAATAATTCCTCACAGAGGACACAAAAACAAAAAGAGAGGATATTAATGCAGAGGAAAAAACGAGAAGTGTTAGCCCGAAGAAAATATGCATTGCTCCCCAGTTCTAGTAGTTCCAGTGAAAATGACCTCAGCAGTGAATCCTCTTCCAGCTCATCAACTGAAGGAGAAGATTTGTTTGTTTCTACCAGTGAAAACCACCAAAACAATCCAGCTGTTCCCTCAGGTAAAAATGTTTCTTAAATTGAGTAAAACATGGAAGCTGTTTTATTGTTTTTATGCTTATTTTCTTATACATTTTAGTGATTGTGTTATATTTAAAAGGAATATGAGGCTTTATTAACTTTCATTTTTAAGCCATATAAATAAATGGCCAAATGTGGTCTTACAAAGAACACTATGAATGACTCATGAACATGGACAACAGAGAGATTGACTTTGGGAGAGAGGGTTGGGCTGGGTGGAGGGAAAAAGGGAAAAAAAAATTCAGACAACTGTAATAGAATAAACAAACAAAAAAAAATGTAGTGTTAATCCATGACTCCAATTCTAAGGTACAAATTTTAAAATTTTCTAAAATTTTAAATAGAGAATTTTTTAAAAATTTGTTTTTCTGACAAATTAAGTGAAGCTAGAGGTTTTTCTTTTTTTTAGAAAACCATTTTTATCCTTTTATACATACTAGATTATATTTTACGAGTTGCTCACTCATACAGTTTTTATTCCTGTAGTGCTTTTTAGTATGTTTAACTTTTATGAATTCTTTTTCAGGTAGCTGTGTGATGGATTTCTTTCATAGTCAATCCCAGTAAAAGCAATTGTAGTCACGAAAAAAGACAACTCAATATTATTTTTTCTTAAGTACTCTGTTCTTATTGTTTACTCTTAACTTGTCATGGTCTTTATAACTAAAAATTAATTTCAAGTATTTGAGAGGTATTTTTATTCTAATACTAGAACACAAACATTATTCCTAAGAGTGCTCAGTAGAGCATATTACTAATCAGTTAAAATGGAATTGATAGAGGATTAGCTCAATTGCACTCTCTCCTTCCTCTCAGTAATGTTATATTTAACTAGAATAAGTTTGTGTAGAGGTAGTGTCTGAAGTATACGTTCTTATATATAATTTTTTTTTTACAATTTGTTGTAATTTAAAAGAAGTTGAAGTGAGCTTTCAGTAGTAAAATCTGACCTGAGGTTAAAGATTAATTTTTTTTGTGGAAGTATTAAGGAAATGGAGTATAGGGAGAGCTTTTTAAAAAGCTAAGATTATGGGTTTATTTATTGTTTTAGTTGGTTTGGTTTTTCAAATTATAAGAGAAAGTTTATTTAGAAAGTTACAGAAGTAATAGAGGGAGCAGCTAAACAAGTTACAGAGGCAGAAGAAGGACCCTCGGAGCTTAGGAGAGAGAAAGACAGTGCACCTGTGGGAAAGGAAAGGGGGACAGAAAGGCAGGTGTGCTCCCGAGTGGCAGAGCGCACCAGATTATGGTTTTTTTGTTTTTAATATTTTATTTATTTATTTTTAGAGAAGGGGGAAGGGAGGAAGAAAGAGAGGGAGAGAAACATCAATGTGTGGTTGCCTCTCGCACGTCCCCTGCCTGGCCTGCAACCTCGGGCACATGTCCTGACTGGAAATTGAACTGGTGACTCTTTTTGGTTTGCAGGCCAGCACTCAATCCACCGAGCCACACCAGCCAGGGCTTTTGGTTTTTAATACTGACACACAGTTTTTTTGGTCTTTGCCTGGTGTCCTGCTTGTTAAAAGGAGAGCCTGCTATTCTACTGTGCAAACATGGCATTATTCCCCCTTTTCTCCTTTATGGGTTCCTTCCATTTCCAAGATGCCCTTTCCAAACCCTGAACCAGTAACTTTGTTCTTAATTGTAGTCTTAGCCATGTTCAGTTCATTTTTTTATAACCCACCCAAATATTTGTTTTAAAAAGAGTTCATTGAGCTCACACTACAGCTGAGAGATGGATACAGAAACCATTCCCTAAGGTTTTAAGAAAGAGGGAAGTGAAATAGGAATTGTCTTGCTTAATTGTCACATTTCACATTTTTCTCATTTGGTTAGAATCTGAAGAGTTTGAGGAGAGGGAGTAACAGCTCAGTTTCTCCTGGATATTAATGAGGCAGGGTGGTTAGTGATGTGAGGCAGAAGTTCCAAGGAACTGATGTTGGTAGGAGGCCTGAGAGTAGAGTATATCTAGGTCAATATCAGTGTCTGTTTCTAGGAAGAAAGAAGTCATAAAGTCTCAGGTATTTAAGATAAATGAAAACTCAATAGTTCATTTTTAAATCTTGTTTAATAGTCATTTTAGCATATAGTGTTTTACTGTCTTTCTTAGAATAATTACTTTACTTAAACTCCATTATTTTCAGACATTATCCTTTAATGTTTGTCTCTGAAAAACAAATTCAAAAGTTAAAACCAAGGACTCCTGATATTTTCTGGTTTCTAGACCAGTGTTTTATTTTAAATAAATTTTTATTATCTTTATTTTTATTTTTTAAGATTTTATTGATTTTTAGAGAGGGGGAAGGGAGGGGAAAGAGAGGGAGAAAAACATCAATGCGTGGTTGCCTCTTGTGTGCTCCCTACTGGGACCTGGCCTGCAGCCCAGGCATGTTCCCTGTCTGGTAATCGAACCTGCGGCTCTGGTTTGGAGGCCAGCACTCAATCCACTGAGCCACACCAGCCAAGGGCTGAATTAATTTTTTTTAAATAATGATTTAATCGCATTCAAATGGTGTGGAGATTTTTAAAAAAAACAAGAAAAGTATAAAATAAGAAGATTTTGAACTTCTGTTCAAGAAGACAGCATAGGCAGACATGGCTCACCTCTTCGTCCAACCTCATCAGAATTACAACTAAAATGTAGAACAACCATCACTCAGAACCATCAGAAGGTGAGTTGAATGGAAGTCTGACAACTATGGAATTAAAGAAACCACATCCATCCAGACTGGTAGAAGGGGCACAGATGCAGAACAGGCTGGACCCACATCCACTTGTGGTAGATAAAATTTGGGAGCGGTATCTCGGGAGCAAGAGGTCCCAGCCCCACACCAGGCCCACCAGCGCAGGGTTCCAGTGCCAGGTATATAAGTCCCCACAACTTCTGGCTGTAAAAACTGGCAGGGATTAGGTCAGTGGAAGAAACTACTGGAGTCCCGAGTAGGTCCTCTTAAAGAACCCCTACTTGGACTCACACGTATTCAGATTCACCCCCTCTGAGCTTCATTACGAGGGTGGCAGCTTGGAAGGCACCAGTGTCATGCTGGGAGAGACTGAGGTGTCTGGCGTCAAGGGGAGCAGAGGCCATTGTATTCAGGCCCTCACCCCACAGAGCCACAGAGCCAGCAAGCTGGTGCCATCGGTGAGACTCCATCAACCTGGCTAACCCACATTGGAGATCTCCAGAGACTCTGCCCCATCCATCTTACAGGCCCATCCAAGCTACTTTTCCATATGAATGGCTAGTTTTGGCCCATGCTGCACAACGTCCTAAATCTTTTCACACATGTAACAGCTGGCCTCAGTGAGCCCCAGCACTGTTTCAAGTAGCTGCTAGCTTAGATTCATAGCTTGGCTTCCCCTGGGAATCTCCAAGCCCAGCACAAATAGCAGGCATCTCAGATTGCTTTATAGCTCAGGCAAGGTGGCCCTGGGCAAAACACATATGGGGGCTGACCTTGGTCTGCACGATATGGGAAACCCCAGGGCCAGCACACGCAGTGGACAGCTATAGACCTTTTCGGAGCACCACCACCCTGCCTCTGCACAGCTGATCCTCCATGGAGGGTGGGAATTGGTGATAAGTGGTCACAGCCAATCCTGGCAGCTGACTGGCCTGGGTAAATCCCTCCCATTGATTTAACCAACAGCAACTGAGGCTCAACTGCAAGAGGAGGGTGTACTCAGCCCACACTAAGAGCGCTCCTCGAGTACCCAGCTTGGGTGATAGGGGAGACTGTGCCACTGAACCCTACAGGACACCTACTACATTAGGCCACACTACCAAGACACAGAGTCGGAGCAGCTCTACCAAATACATAGAAACAAACACAGAGAGGCTGCCAAATCAAGGAGACAAAGAAACATGGCCCAAATGAAAGGAGAAGTAGAAACTCCAGAAAATAAGCTAAACGAAATGGAGGTAAGCAATCTATCAGACGCAGAGTTCAAAACAGGTTCAAAACACCGTTTATAAGGACACACAGGGAACTTAGTGAAGATCTCAGCAGCATACAAAAGGTCCAGTCAGAAACAAAGGATACACTAACTGAAGTAAAGAACAAATCACAGGGAAACAACAGTAGATGAAGCCAAAAATCAAATCAGTGATTTGGAACATGAGGAAGAAAAAGAAAAAACGACCAAGGAGAACAAGAAGAAGAAAGAATCCAAAAAAATGAGGAGAGCTCTGGCTGGTGTCGCTCAGTGGATTGAATGCTGGCCTGAGAACTGAAGGGTTGCTGGTTTGTTTCCTAGTCAGGGCACATGCCTAGATTGCAGGCTGGTTCCCAGTTGGGGGCATGCGAGAGGCAACTGATCAATGTGTCTCTTGCACATCTATGTTTCTCTCCCTCTTTCTCCCTCCCTTTGCCACTCCCTAAAAGTAAATAAAATCATTTTTAAAAATATGAGGATAGTATAAGAAGCCTCTGGGACAACTTCAAGAGGTCCAATGTTCACTTCATAGGTGTGCCAGAAGGAGAAGAAAAAGAGAAAGAAATTGGAAATGTATTTGAAAAAATAGTGGAGGAAAACTTCTCTAATTTGGTGAAGGAAAAGGACATGCAAGTCCAGGAAGCACAGAGCGTCCCAACTGTGATGGATGCAAAGAGGCCCACTCCAAGACACATCATAATTAAAATGCTAAATGTTAAAAATAAAGAGAGAATCTTAAAAGTAGCAAGAGAAAAGACAGTCAGTCACCTACAGGGGAGTTCCCATAAGGCCGTCAGCTGATTTCTCAAAAGAAACTTTGCAGGCTAGAAGGGATTGGCAAGAAATATTCAAAGTCATGAAAAGCAGGGACCTACAGTCAAGATTACTCTACCCAGCAAAGCTATCATTTAGTATTGAAGGTCAGATAAAGAGCTTCCCAGTCAAGAAAAAAACTAAAGAAGTTCATCATCACCAAACACTTATTCTATGAAATGTTAAAGGGACTTATTTAAGAAAGAAAGATGATCTAAACTATGAACAATAA